AAAAGGATCTCCTTCGACCGCCCCCAAGGCCCCCTTTCAGAGCCCCCTCCCGAGCCACTCACTTGCACAGCCGGACAATCCCCACAAATTGTCAGCGGAGCCCGTTGCCGGTTCTGGATGTGCAGGAACCGCACCATGGCGACCAGCCGGCATGGACTCCCAACAGAGGGGAGGCGGGGTTAGCAACAACCGGAAGCGAAGCGACACGGACTGGGGGAAAAAGAGCACCCACCGAACGAGGAAAGGAAGTGGGTAGGGCGCATGCGCCGAGGGAGAACGCTGGAAGGGAGAAAAGTCCCTGTGAGAGAGTAGAATCGATTGCCGAGCAACGGCTCAGTGGGGACGTCCGAGCAGGAAGTGAGGAGAGAGAGTTTTGAATGGCCTTTTATTCTTAACTGCTCTATCCCTTCGCAAACCTGATCTTGCTTCGCTTTCTTAGTTGTTCCACAGGTAGAGTACAGTACATCCATTAGGCATCCTTCAGTTTCGAGAGACTATGCTAACGTGCTCTGAATGGGGGACTTGGAACAGCGTCTAGTGTAGCTGAGAAGGCCAATTCGAGAGTGACAATCCCTTCCACACTGACGACAAATGCAGTCTGGCCCCTGGTCCAGGTCCCTGATTTTGTTGGTTTTGGGACTTCCTCTTTGCCTTGGCCTGCTGGACAAGGGTCTCTTCAAATTGGGAGAGGCCGTGATGCAACACTTGCCTCCAGGCTGAACGCTCAGACGTCAAGGTTTCCCATTTGTTGAGGTCCATTCCTAAGGCCTTCAGATCCGGCTTACAGATATCCTTCTGTTGCAGCTGTGGTCTCCCTCTGGGACGATTTCTGGTAGAGTACATAAGATAGTTAATCATATTCATGCCATTCTTTGTTAAGGCTTCACAAAGGATAATTGTATTAACGTACACTGCTATGGAAGAGCGGTGGAAGGGATTGTCACTCTCGAATTGGCCTTCTCAGCCACACTAGACGCTGTTCCAAGACCTCCATACAGAGCACGTTACCATAGTCTCTCGAGACTGAAGGATGCCTACTACTATGGAAGATATACAGTTTGGTGTAGGACTGAAGAGACCTGAGTTCAAATTTTCATATAGCAGTAGAAACTCACTCGGGGGGGTGGAACTGGGAAAACCATTCCTTGAATATCTTACCTTGAAACCCTTATTAGGGAATCCTATAAGTTGTTTCCAACTTGATGGCATGTAACAAAATTGTTACTGAAGAAATGTCATACAAATTTTATTTTGCCAGCCCTCATCAGCACAAACCTTTGTACTTGGCATCAAAATAAAATGTCATAATCGAAACTGATTTGGACTAATGCTATCATAAGTGTACACAAACTAGAATTACTGTACGTCCTTTTCTTTGACATAATTGAGAATAATAAAGGGGAAACTGAAGGGGTTCAATCATGGAGAAAACAGTTTTATGCATATTCACTCAGAAGTAACTCCGTGTTCAGAGAGCCCTACTTGTGAATAAGTTTAGGATTGTAATATTTGTATTTATATGTGCATATAAATACAAATATGTGTAATCTCTGCCATTTGTAAACATCCACTTCCTCATTGAAAAGTGTGTGGAGATGTCTAGCCATTTTTCAGGGTACAGTAATATGTTCAACTGCTGTATTCTTGGTAATTCTAAGTTTAGATCCAACAGCAGCATGTAGAACAAATTCTAGAATGCCAGTATAGGTAGTGGAAGCTAATCTATTAGGACAAAGGAGGCACTGTCCCACCTCAGGCTCAGGTGTTGAATGACCGTATATTCCAGTTATGTTTGCTAAAAAGGGACAACAGGCACTGATACCCACTATTTCTTTCTTTGGCTCAGCCTATTGCAGGCATTGGAAATGCAAAGAAGGGAGTTTAAGGAGAAGAGAGGAAGCCAGACAGAGACTAAGAGTTTTGTGAGAAAACTGTTGTTGTATGAGGAGGGAATATTGCTCACAAGTATATTGAAATAAATGAATGCTGAAAGTCAACCAACTTAATATATATTTTATTACTGTGCTGCCCATAAGCCACCCATGCACAATGTTATTCTTTCGTCAATTTAATTCACTTTAAAAACCAGTGGTGGCTCTGGGAAAAGAAATGAGCTGGGTCATAGGAGCCAGGGGTGGAGTGGGGGACAAATGGTGCCTATCAAAGTTATCCTTGGGTCATTGTAAATCAGTTTTCAGAGACACAGCTGGTAAAAGTGGATTTGCTGTCTACAGTAACCCAAATTAAAAACAGAGGACAATCAGTATAACTCAGCGCAGATCAAGTTTCTATCATTTCTTCTTAGCAATTATTGTTTGAAACCATAATGTTAATAGATTTATAGTATAATACTGTACATGTCTACTCAATTTTTTTTCACTGAGTTCAATCAGGCTTACTCTGCAAGTGGATATAGGACTGCAGCCTCACGTTACAATCATACATATTCTTATTAGGGAGCAAATTTCACTGAACTCAGCAAAAAATATTACAGTTGCCTGGAATGGAGCGAAGAATTTATGAGAAGTACCGTCTCCTGTGTAAAATTAACTTTATTTTTAATACATTGACTTGCATAAGAAATATTTACTGCTGTGCCTTAAGGGAGCAACACATCCAACACAGAGGAAACCGGTGTGGCTCTGATAATTAAATATAACTTTGCTCTATTTGAACACTGCCTCCTGAAAGAAGATACAAATTCACTAAGACACAGAGATGTGTAACAAACTTGTTTGTTATTTTGCTAGTAGTGACAGTTATTATTTGTACTTCTGATTATAGTACCTTATAACTGTAATAAATAATATTCATTGACAGCACATTTCCTTCCTTAGTTATCCCAGTATTTACATGGTCACTTAAGTAATGAAATAAAAAGGCTATTCCCTCCAATTAATAGTATTTTAGGAATCTTTAATTTTCTTCACCAATGTATATTTTGCTGCTATGGAAATTCAGCAAAGATACCTTGACCCACTCCTGTTTTTTTAAAAAAAGCATATCCGTTTTTTATTCCTATTATAGCAGTGATAATTCCCATTGGTAGTACAAAGCTACTAGCACAGGGACCCCTAGTAATAAGGCAGCAAATTTTTAAATTGTGAAACAAATTGTAGAGCAATCCTTTCAAAATAGTAAGTTTGACTGAAGGCATTGTTTGCTTTACATCAGTTCTACTTTATGTCAGTCTTTGTGTACTTCTGTGAATTCTATTTTGCCCCCACAAAATATTAATAGATACACACCAGAGGAAGTTTTTAACCATGGAAAGTTTTATGTAAAACTTTAATACTCCACACAGTGATGTAATTTACACCAGACTTTACATAAGATATTGGATGAGAGTTGTGTTGCCTTGCACATAAACTTCACTGCACAAATACTGACAAAGTATTTACGAGAAAGAGCAAAGCAATTGATCGCCTGTCATAAATAAGGTGATCAGATGGTCCTCCATGTTGTACAATCCCATAAACTGAGCAAACTCTTTCTACACTTAGCAGTCCTTTTGGGGGAGAGAACCACAGTTTTCCCAGTCTTCTGTTAAACACATATCTAATCATAACAAGTGTCAAAGCACTGTTTGATCTTTTTCTTCTTCTCCTTTTTGAAAGAACTGCAACTCCCCCTTTCCTTCATATGCCTTCGGCTCCTTGGAGCAGAAGCCAGGTTTCTCCCTACAAACAAATTCCACCATAGGATATTAGGAAAATTAAACTATGATTAAAAATTCAGGTGCTCTTTTTAGAAATAATGGGTGAAACATCAGACAAATCAGAAAGCTCCACATGGGGTTCAAAAAGTCTCTATGGAACAAGATGCCTCTGGTCACCTTACTCATAACCTGTTGTGTTTAAATGTGTGGATACATGACATTGTTTCAAGCTCGATAGTGCTGACGTTACAAGCACAAACAGTTCTATTCAAATACTGAGTTGGTGAATAGTTCTATTTAAACACAACTATTCTGAAGGAATGAAGCAAGCAGAAATGATTTCTTGTACTTGAACTCAACAGAATTTCTAAAGGTTCCATTTTGGATGTACATCTGAATGGTAGTCTTCATTTTTTCATACAAGCAAAGGCGATTCGACATGACCAGTTTAAGAATGCATCCTAGATCCTCATGAAAACCCTTAATGGCAGAGACCATTAAATACAACATTTGCCAGCCATGAGTTGTGTGTGCTTCCACATCAGCTGGCAAAACGTTTTAATGGTGATCATTGTAACCAAAGTTATTCCAACTACAGACACTTTGCAAAGGATTATTAGAGGATAATTTATACACATATTCCCTGTTATTTAGTGTTTCCTTTAAATTTGTCTGGTTTTTAACAAGGAGGTGGCCGCCCATGCCGCAAAATATGTTTTTCTAAACTATCTAAAATTGAGTTAGCAATTCGTTGGACATCTGGATCAGTCTGGCTGTTTTCTTTGATATTAAACAAGTGGTGCAATCCACCTTCTTCAATTAACATACTGCAGTACCTGGCAGCTGAAATGAGAAAAAAGAAAAATGCAGTGTGCTTAAGTCTCTTGCATTTGGTTGCCTGCTTCTGTCACATGGTATTTACTGTTTAAAATCTAGATGTAAACTACAAAAGGATCTAGCAAAATAGTTTTGCTAACCAGATGCTGCAAATAAGCCCCAATTATCCATAACATTTTCTTATTGCAGACAGGAGCAGCAAAACCATGATTAGCCATGTCCTCGCACAACATCTGTGGATGCTAAAATATGCATGTTAGGGTTAACAGTGGAAATTGTCTCTTCTACATACCCTGATGCAGGATAACATAGGAGACAAAGAATTACAGATAACCACTACAGAAGAGCAGCATATCTATCTAATCTCTGATACCCTCACGATCCTGTCCTGTTTTCTAGGACTAGGAGTGCTACCAGAGAGATTGCTCCTAGTGTCACGAGATGACATTGTGTAACTATTCAATTTTTTGTTCAACTGATTTTTTTAATGTGTGCAGCAAGAAAAAGAAGAAAGCAATCAGAAAATGGTGTGAGGGCTTACAAATATAACATTGTCTAGATGACTCATAAAGCTTACATTTGAAGCAGGAGATAGCATAACAAAAGCCTCATTCCCTAAGAGACGGAAAAGTAATAATCAACAAGCTTTTGGTTTGCATTCCAGCCCAACTTGGATCCTTATTCTTCTCTCCCATTCCCTTTGTACCACACAGAACCTGCTTATTTCTTCATTGACCATGCCTCCCAGTCTTTACTGGAGCCTCGTGGCACAGTGGTTAAGCTGCAGCCAAAACTGTGCTCCTCACCCAGGGTTGAATCCCAGGTAGCTGGTTCAAGCTTGACTCAGCCTTTATCCTTAAAGCCATAACAGCTCTTAGTGCTGCTTCTAGGACACAAGAATTAGTGGTTGTTGTGGGTTTTTCGGGCTCTTTGGCCGTGTTTTGAAGGTTGTTCTTCCTAACGTTTTGCCAGTCTCTGTGGCCGGCATCTTCAGAGGACAGCACTTTGCTGCTCTCAAGCTTTTTGCTGCTCTCAAACTTTCGTCACATGTAGTACTTCTCTAGAGATCTGTTATGTGCTGCAATATCGTATTTAACATGGTGACCCTAACCAGGTTTTCAAGGTATGTGAGATATTTAAGGAGTAATTTTACCACTTCACCCCCTATGGGTTTCCATGGCTAAATATGGATTTGAACCCAGGCCTCCTGAATCCTACTCCCTCACTGTACCCACTATACCACACTGGCTCCCTCTTTAGGGATATAGATGATGACTTAGCACTAGATCTACTTTTGTGACTAAACAAATGCTTAGTCCCAAGTGGTCCCGTGTTTAATTTATTTATCACTTCTACAGCAGCTGTTCCTCCAATTAACTCAAGGTAGTAAACATGCTACTTGTAGCCTTGCAATCATCCCCCAGGTAGGTTAGAAAGAGATACAATAGCCGACGTCTAGTAGTGACTCACAACTAGAGTCATTCAGCCACTGAGGATTTGGAGAGGCAGTTCCTCCATAAGTTCCATTAATTCAATGGGACTACTCTAGTCATGATTTACTGTTGGCTTTCAGCCACCAACATACCAATAGCCTTCACATGTGAGCAGAAATTTCAGCCAATGCTCTTGATCCAGGTCTAACACTCTGTCTAATGCATCACAATGGCTCCTAGAATCCCAAATATGTGAAATATCACCTTACCCCATGCTTGACTACTAATTTTGCTTTCTCCCTGGGATAAAAATATGACAGATTTTCTGATGTGAAAAATATAATACATACTTTATAGATACATTGCAAAATTACTAGGCTGTATCCAATTGTTGGTCCTGGTGAAAGCAGGCACATTGAATTACTGGACTTGTTAAATCAACACAGTATGATTCTCACTGGAACTAAGTATTGGGTTTAACCCACTGAAAGTGATTTAGTGTATATCGGTTATCTAGCTAAAATCACAAGAACAATCCTGTCACTCAAACTACATGTCCAAAGTGTTACTCTAGATGTAGAATTTGGTCTCAGTACATACGATTTTTACTGCAGACATGTTGCATTGCCCACACTGCCCACAGCTGTACTCCTGGAGTCATGAAGCAGCCAAGCAAAGGGAAAAAAGGATTGAATGACCTATTATGGAAAGAAAAATAGAGGCACTGTCACTTTTGTACTTTTACTGCATAACAGGAGGGCAAAATTTCCCCCTGTGATGTGCCTTAACTGCACCATCGCACGCCCCCCAACCCAAATGTGATCTCTGGGCCTCAAATGCAATCTCTCAGTGCTTCCAAATTGCGAAATAGTTCCAAAATTGTTTAAAGAAGCTGGACACATTTTGGCTCAGGAGGTCTCCTTGTGTCTTTCTGGAGGTTTTGAGGAGCTCCCCACATTTTAATTAAAACAAATTTATTTGGTCCTTGTAAAGCAGAAGTGTAAAACTCAATTTCTTCTTGGGCCGCATCGGCATTATGGTTGCCCCTGAAGGGCCGGTTGTATCTGTAAGACTATATAAACGTATCTACTCTTCATCATATTAAATATAATCCTCCTCATTCAATTATCACTTTCTGACTCTTCATTGCTTGGAATGCTCGGATTAGAAGTCCCACTGGGCAGATTCCCAGCATCCATGTGGAGCATTATGGGTGACCGAGTAAGCCCCTGTGTATTGTATGCTGCACAGTAGCAGGCAGCACTGCGAGGGTGGCATGAAACAGCCCAGCAGGCTAGATTCGGCCTGTGGGCCTTGAGTTTGACACGTGTTGTAGAGCAGCAGTCCCCAACATTTTGGGGGCTGTGGACCGGCTGGGGGGGAGCAAACTCCATGCGCCGGGGACAGGGGCACCCCTGCATGAGCGCAGTGGGCTTATCACATGTGGGGGGTGTCGCACGTGGGGGGCATGTCACGCTTGCGTGCAGGCATGACACCCCCCGTGCGGGCACAACACGCCCCCGGTGCAACACGCCCCCCACATGAGCATGACACGCCCACCATACTGTGGGGTGGGCAGAAATCCATATCCGCGACCCAGTTCTGGCAAGCCCGCAGACTGGGTGTTGACGACTCCTGTTGTAGTGTATAAGGAGGCTTTTTCTAAACAAACCCTCCAATTTTTTTAAAAGAAAAAAATTCAGAAGATGGAATAAAAGGAGCAGGTGCAGCCGTCCAAGGCCCAGGGATTGTAGTACTGTATATATTATGGCCCCTGGGCCTCTGGAAATTGCCCTCCTCAGCATTACACCAACCAAACAAGACTAAACTGCACATTTAGCTTAAAAATTATCAACACAGCTTTGCTAAAAGGACAATCATGAAGAAATTTTTACTGGATGTGCAGTATTTTTTTACTGCAAGCCACAAATCATAAGATCACACCATAACTTGTGGACAGAAGCTCCCATATATAAGTGCACACACCGTGCAACAAACAAGCCAATATCCATTAGCATGGACTTCTGGATTGAAGCTGGTACTATTGGAAGAAGATGAAAAAAATTATATTCTACTACAGAAGAAAATCTGTAGCTTTTCCAGACAGCCAGGCAAAGGATGCCTCACATATATTTTACTCACTGATTGATACTCCTACAATTCTTGCCAGCAAGCAAGCTCTGCACTGGGAAGAACACCCTTGTATCAGGAGCAATAACTGTTTGTTCTCTCTCTCTCTCTCTCTCTCTCTCTCTCTCTCTCGTTAAAGTTAAGAACTGTGCCTTTCAGCACTGAGGCATGGATGGATAAACAGCAAAAATAACAAGCAGCTATATTTAGATTCAGAATAGAAGTGATGTACAGCTTTCATTTTCCCTTTTTTTCCAAATGAAAAGTTATCATAGGATGCTCTGACTTTGAAGAAAAGAATGGGGCAAGGTGGCCTGTGTCTTTTCCTATGTGGGAAGAAAAATAGCTGGGAAAGAGTACTCTGAGCATAAAGCATGTGATTTTTGTAAGCCTATTCTGGGATTCCTCTGTTCAGATTTACAGCCTCTGGACACTGATTGTGACATCCTTTAAAAAAAAGGAAAAGACTTTTTATCCTGTATGCAAGGTGGTTTGTTTCACAGTTAATATTTAGTTAATTTCACTTCTTGCACAACAACTGAACTAACAATTGCCAAATGGTTGAGTTCTGCACCCTGATCATCTACGAGTAAACAGGTAAAATATTAGGTAAACAAGTAAAATACTAGGTTAGTAAATTTAGTAAAACATTGTTAGACTAATACACGAGTACTGGTTGGTGCTTATACTATAGAGAATAGGAAAAATGCAAGCTATATGCAAAAGGAGTTCACCATACTTGTACAATTGCAAGAGCAATTCTGACTTGAAATTACACCACACCAAACAAAGTGGCCACAATCTTATTGGTGATTTAAATGTGAATCTGTAACTTGCCACAGTGAATTGCTATTAATTAATAAGGTGCTGGTTTCATTACCAGGGATGCCCCAATTGTACAAAAGGGACATGCCTGATAACAGGACTGGGGCCTCATTAATTAACGACAGTTTACCATCATGAGTAACGCAATTTAACTGATGCATGTGTAAATCACCAACAGGATTCTGACCAGTAGGCATTTCTTTGAAGTAATCAGGCATAAGATTGGTCAGTAAGAATATGATAAATAAATCATGCAATCCTATGCATGTTTACTCAGAGGCTAGTCCTGCTGAGTTCAGTGGTAAGTGTAGACAAAATTGCAAGCTTAAGCATTTAGTGAGATCTTTAAAAATCAAGATATGTAATTTTATCATATGGTAAGTGTAGACAAAATTGCAATTTAAAAATCAAGATATGTAATTTTATCATAAGGCAGAACAAGGTATGTATTTTATCATAAGACAGAACATTTCCAACTGGAATGTTATAATCTGTAACTGCAGCAGATTAATCAGAACATGAGTTAATATTTTTCTCAAGTTAATATTTTTCTCAAGCTTTCTGTCAAAGCTGTATTACCTGTATGCCACCATTTCACATTCTGGTGTAGGCCAGTTCAAAATGGCAGAATGCTGTAAGGCAAGGGAGGAAGTGATGTTACTGTGAATGTTAACATTAGCAGCCTGGAATAAAAGTAGGCATTATTTCAATCCCAAGTGTACCAGCTCTTCTAGGAGTGAGTTTCTCTGACTGCGGCTCAATGTCCAGGCTTGTTCTCCTCGTGATATCAAATGAGCAATAATTCCAGCTGCAAAGTAACTGACTTCCACCTCAACACTGTGCAACAGCTTGCTGATGTGGTCTATGAAGTCTTTCCACATAAGCTCTGAATGGAGCTCTTTCACCTCTGCTATGTTGTTCTACACACACATACACACAAAAGAAACAAGATGGAGGGTTAGAATATGAACAAACAGTGACATGGAAATAAGCTTTTGCAGGATGTGATGGTTGCAGCCATGATAAATGTTGCATGTCAAAAATGATCCATGTCTCAAAACTGTCAGGCCTCAGAGCAGGGAACGGTGCTTCCATTGCCTGCAGCATCAGCAAACGCCTCAGAGCAGGGAACGGTGCTTGTAGGTGCTTCCATTGCCTGCAGCATCAGCAAACAAGTGCTAAAAATAAAACAAAGAGGTTGCCACCAGCACCACTGTTAAAAGTTCAGTCCCCCAGCAGCAGATAACTGGTGCTCATCACCCTGGGAACTGGTGAAGAGGCCTTTCATTTTGCCATCTATAAATTGGGCTGCAAAACAAAGCAGCCCTAAATTAAACCCACTGTCAACACATTCAAGATGGACCAAAAATATATATTCATCCACATGACACACAAGATTTTTAGCACTATGATGTAGAAATGGTAATTAGATTAAATGGCTTTAAAATGGTGTTAGACATATCAGAGAACTAGAAATAAGAAAAGATCTGTTATCTTTACTTTCTGCTTGTGGGAATTCCAGAAAAAGAGTGGAAAACCTTCGTCCCTCCAGAGCTCACTCTCTCACGCTCTTTTTTTAAAAAACCTCTCTCATAATCCCTTATCATTTGCCATGCTAGCTGGGTCTTCTGGAAGTTGACGTCCAAAACATTTACATGGCCAGAGGTTCCCCATCTCTGTCTCTGAGACACTGGCAGGCCACTGCCTACAGTAGTATGTCACTCCAGAGAGATATTTTGTATTTACCAGAAGGACTCTTATGCCTTATATTATTCCCATAAGGCAATGCTAAAATGAATAGGGGCTTTTCAGGAATAACATTGGATTGATTGCATCCATAGTTACTAGAATGCCATCAAAAATCTTTTTTCCCCCATGTAGTTTTCAATTGGGCAGGGGAGAGAGAAAGCAAATAGCACAGCATTTCCACTATTCACGTAAAATACCTATCATTATATTCAGCTTACCAGAAGGCCAAGAACTTTCTGCTGGATAGAAGACTCAGACGGAAAAGACTATAAATAAAAACAACATTTTTAATTCATGTATTCATTAAGAGACCTGATCCACATTATAATACAGTAACAAGAAGGCACCTGTGAGAAGACTTGGGAACTACAGGGAAATCTATGTATTTCTTACAATGCATACACAACTCTACTACCCTCAAACATGAATGAATAAGACGCTAAAGGCCATGTTTTAGAGCAGCAGTGGATGGGAAACACAGAAGAGTAGGATTCGGTGTTCTCACAGAAGGAAGGAGAATAATGTGGGGCCTCTTGTTACTGTGGCTTTTTTCCCCTGGGGTGTGTTCTTAAATTGCTTAGAAATCTGTTTTGGTGTAATAATCTGCTTAGTTTTGTTTCAATGTAATAATTCTGTTTTCAGTTATCTGTGTGAGCCACCTTGAATCCCAGGGTTGGGGAAAAGGCAAGGCATAATAAAATAACTGGCTGTTTAGGAGGAGTGAGAACATTCATTTAATGCTCTTTCTTCCCTTGCTTGAGTGGTGCCTGGAGTGAAAGAAAGGAAACTTCTGGAATGTATTCCTTCTAAAACAATAGCAGGAATTTAGAGTTGGTGATGCAAGTCTGGTGCATTCCCTGGTCAATAATTTTATCATCACAGATAGGTTGAGCCCTTTTGGCATTAAAGCATTTGTACGGGGGAGGAAAATGGAACTTCTGGGAACATAAGTAGCAGATGCTATTTCTATGAGCCCAATCATTTCTGCAATCACTTCCTTCAATGTATCTCAAAGTAGCACCTCCCCGTGTGATCCAACATGCAAGGGTTTGGGGAATGGCAATGCAAGGGGAAGGTGTTAGAAACAGTGACAGCTTGCCTCCCTTCAACAGGAGGTTTCAACCATGAGTAGCAATCCTCCCCTGTGCAGCTTAGATCTCCAAATTCAAACTTCAGGGTCCATGTGCGGAAAGTGGAAGTTGCAAATCACACAACAGATCTATCAATGCCCACAAATATCCCTCAGTTCTCACCTCCAAGACCTTCATGAAGAGCTCTAGCCCTTGGTTTTCAATAAAGTGCCGACATGTGGTTGGGGACTCATCCGTAAGATTCCAAAGTGCACTCAGTGTAAACTTAAGTGTAGTGTCCACTACATTCTGATTTGTTTTTTGCTTTACAATCTGAAGTAGTTGCTAAAAGAAAAAACACATCAGAAATAAAAACACATTTGCCTTAACATCCTTTTTGCAACAGTCATCTGTTTCAGGTTCAAATCACACTGGGGAAACAGACACATTTACTCGAGATACATTTATTTGAGACTGGTCTGACCATATTAAAAAAGGAGATAAAATCCCAGATTCCTGACCCAGTGAGATGGTGTGATGCCTCCTGCCTTCCATATTTAATTGGCACAGAGGCTCTTAGTGCCACTCACTGTCTGACATGTAATGACAATCAGCAGCAAACCTCTTTTACCTTATTGTCAGATAAGATTTTGAAGCAGTAGGATACATCCACACATCAAGAGCTAGACAGAAATAAACATAAGTGCTTCTGCTATGTCCTTTCATGTTATCTAGCACAGTGGTTCTTAACCTTTGTTACTCGGATGTTTTTGAACTGCAATTCCTGCTATGTCCTTTCATGTTATCTAGCATACTGAAGACCCAACCCATGAAAAAAGAAGGCCTATGGTCTGCCTCTTCGCATATTAGGCTAAATTCAACCACTCATCCTCTTCATATCTGACCATGAAAAGGAAGGCTGGAACCTGATGTGTTAAAGAGCTGACTCAGTATAGATAAATAGGCTCACCTGCATTTTGCATTACAAGGAGGGATGCCTACATCAGTAAGTGCATCCGTGTGCCACGTTAAATGACAAACTGGTGTATATATACACATGACCAAATAGCAGGTCTCCTTGCAGGTAAGTAGCCCTGCCTGCCAATTCAAGAAACCAACTGTAAGGGGAAATATGCCACAAAATTCTGAAGGTGGTACAATTGTCACTGTATAGTTTCATTGTAACTGCTATTTTTCAAACTTTCCACCTTTCCTTTCCATTCTAACAAAGCAAACCTGCCATTCTATCTACCTTTAAATTAGCCTTCCAATGTCATTCACTTTTCTACTTTTAGATATTATTCATTTATCCATGTACAATTCAAGGGTTGAATATCTGAAAAACTTCATGCTCTCAGATAGTTTAACTGTTCATTGGGATCATGCCCTTCTCTGGATGACTCTGTCTGCAATAACTGAAAATTTGGTAACTGACCTTCTCTGTAGTAGCATTGAAAGCTTGGAATATCTTTCAAGTGCTGTTTGCCTGGTACCTACTTATGTGAGTTTTAGATGCCACATGATTAGATTAGGCATACTTCAGTCTCGAGAGACTGTGATAACGTGCTCTGAATAGACTGAGGACTTGGAACAGCATCTAGTGTGGCTGAGAAGGCCAATTCGAGAGTGATGATCTCTTCCACACTGAAGACAAATACAATCTGTCCCCTGTCCAGTTCTCTGATTTTGCTGGTTTCGGGACTGCCTCTTTTCCTCGGCCTGCTGGATGAGATGTCAGATGACAAGGGTGTTAAATACCCACATGCCTTTTAAGAACAAATTGCTGTTCTTCTGTCTGCAGGATGGGGGGGATATGTATTTTTCATTACTTTTTAGTCAGCTGTTGTTGCCCTTTTCCTGAGGAGGAAGCTGAGGGAGAAGGTGAGCTGTGTTTGGGAGCATATTTTATTTGGTGAGGGATTTTTTTCTAGGCTGACCTTTGTTCTCCCTGACCACATGGTCTGAGGGGGTGTGGGTCTAGCTACAAATGACTGTGATCAGAAGCTCTTAGAAAATTCTAATTCTCTAATTCTATTTTTTACTCTAATCTGGTAAATTGGAAATCCAAATAGCACTGCATACAGCTGGAGGGCAGAAAAGTTTTAGGGATCGGACCATACTTCTGCACTATTAGGGAGCAAGCTGGGTAGGTGGGGCTTGTCAGCCTTGGAAGGCAGCCCATCAAGGAGAAGCAAAACTTTGATATCAAACCTCCACTGCCTTGTGGCTATATCCACTGATGGAAAAGGCTTCAGGAGTTAACCTCGAGGCAAAATCCGGAGCTGGAGTCCCGGAGGCAGTTCTTGTCGTTCTGGCAACTCCTGCGACATCGCTGGAACCAGTTGTATTGGCTCTTGCCTTTCCATTGGACTATTTCAGCGATGTGGAGAGGGTAGATTTGTTGCTTGGATAACAGTCTATCCTCCATATTATTTTACCCAGGCCTCGTGCTCTGGTGAGGACACTCTCCAAGTCCTCCATACAGAGCACGTTACCATAGTCTCTTGAGACTGAAGGATGCCTAAGGAAGTAACTCTATAATTGGGTTTTATTAAATTTGCTTGGTTTTTCATATCTGTCTAAGCCACTATGTGGATAATGTTATAATACAGTGTCGTCACCAGATGGTTCTGAATAGCTCTGGATCTCTTAAAAGTTTAAGAGAGACAATAAATCTTTTGGCTGGTATTTTATCTAAACTGCCACACCTTAAATAAATAATATCTGCTATTAGAGTGATAGATCATTTTTTTCCTATCCTATACTTGCTTTTTAAAGTGTAGGATAGCAAAATGTAGTTTTACTTTTTTAATTAATTTTTTATTTCTTATTTATTTTTTTACTGATAATAGTAGCATGCATAAAATGCTAAGAGAACCATGTAAGGATTCCTACTGAATACAACAATCCCACAGCTGTAAACCAAGGACAAATCACACACAGAAGATAACTATATTTTACATTGGTGGTGTTTAAAGAACATTTCAGTTGCCATGGTATTCAGATTATTAGACACCACTGGAAAGATGCAGGATTTTAAAAGCATATATTCCGCTATGGCTCTTTGTACAATTTTAGAAATATTTTCACGGCCTTAGGTAAGGACTTCTGACACACTCAGGACTGCTCTTATCACAACGCAAAGCGGGTCAGGTGCCTAAGGCAGCTGGTTCTAGGTATCAAGAAAGGGCACAGGTGCTTTGTAATGTAATACTACTTGAAGTGTAATATGTGTGTGGGGACAGAGGTCAAGAATTATTGATTTAATGTATTAGCAGCAGCCAGCAAGAGGGGAGGTGCTTGTGGTTGTTTACACTTCAGATGACCCAAGCTGAGTAATGTTTTCCTTGACAGGATGGAGAATAAAAAAGGAAATGCTATTTGCTGTGGTGCCTAAGGCAGCAAAACACCTAATATTTTGTCTGATGCAAGTAGCATATCTAATATAATTTCAAAGCCACCAGGTTATTCTTTTTCTCATGTAAAAAGGAAGACAGGTCATAGACAACACTACACACACTTAAATGATTGGCTCCCCTCATTTACTAAAGAATCTCTTATATTTCCGGACAGAAATAAAATATTCTTTTCCATGTCTATACTAGGAGAATTCCTATTATGTTTAAGAGGATTAGCTCCCAAGTAAATACTGCATCCTTAATCCTAAATCATAGTATCATATAGAATATACCCTAGGGCGTAGGCATCCATAAAAGCCTTCAGCTATTATCAGCCAATGACCTTCTTTCACCTTACATCTGCATGGGAAGTATTAAAAATCAAATCTTCTGCTTGGGACCCCTTTCATCCTGGGAAAGCTGTTAGGGGCTGTGGAATAGAGGGGGAAGTCTTTAATTTTTAAAACGTGCTGCTGCCAGCAAAAACATCCCACCAGTAGCAATTTTTAGACTGAGAAAGACTCCTCCTCAAACACAGGTCTCCAAAGGCTTTCCCAGAATGGGGAGACTCGCCTCTATTCAGCACTGGTTAAGCGTCATCTAGAGTACCGTGTCGAGTTCTGGACACAATATTTTAAGAAGAATGCCAATAAACTGGAGCAAATTCAGAGGAAGGCAACAAAGATTATCAGGGGCCTGGAAACCAACTCTTATGACAAAAGACTGAAAGAACTGGGCTTGTTTAGCCTTGAGAAAAGAAGACTGAGCGGAAATGTGATAGTACTTTTCAAATACTTGAAAAGTAATCATACAAAGGAGGGGCAGGATCTGTTCTCATCATCCCAAACTGCAGGACACATAATACTGGACTCAAGCTACAGGAAGCCAGATTTAGGCTGCATATCAGGAAAAATCTCCTAACTGTTAGAGCAGTATGGCAATGGAACCAATTACCTCGGGAGATAGTGAGCACTCCAACGCTGGAGGCATTCAAGAAAAAAATGGACAATCATTTCTCAGATCCACTTTGATCTGGATTCCTGCCTTGAGCAGTGGGTTGGACTCAATGACCTTACAGGCCCCTTCCAACTCAATTAATTTATGATTCTATGAACCTCTGGTGTGTGTGTGTGTGTGTGTGTGTGTGTAAGAATCAGAAACTCTTATTCTCAAAAAGATGTATGTGGCTCATGATGCCATGAGCCTTACATGGCATAACTTTATGCTACTGGATATCAGCCAATAAGAGCTACAATTGACCATATTTCAAACACGGTAAGCAAGATTTCCAAAAAGTGTTGGCACTTAGCTTACCCTGACAATGAAGAGCTCTGCACCAAGTTGAGCTGTTTGTTCTGTTGAAAGCTATAAGCAAAAACAAACACAGAAATGTCAGGTGACTGTAGGAAAGACCTTGGGAATTAAGGGAGCTGTAAGAACTGAAGTAGGGAAGCATAAAGTCTCACACCTTTGCAGCGAGAATGGAGATGATTGCCACTGCCATTCTCTGCATATTTTGATCTTCATGGTTGCATAGCCATTGCATAACCAATTTAGCTGCTTCAAACCTGAAAGGCAATAGAACATTCAAACACTAAGGTGCCAAATCATGTTTTGTAGTCAGAAAAACAAAAGCCGATCACTCACCCTCTTCTGTCATTAAAACTGCCCTCTCAGTTTTTTTTTAATTGGCAAGCAATGTAGCATTGAACTGATATAACAGCTTGTGAACATACCTGACACAGCACTAAATTGGAAAAGCATAGTAAAAAATTGTTCAGAGGACAGATAAGAAGCACTCACTTGAGGGGGATGTTCCTGCTATACCAACATACCTTTCAGCGGGATGCAGTATGCAATACAATGGGAACATCCCCCTCAAGTAAGCTCCTCTTCTCTCTTCTCTTCATCATTTTTTAATTAGGTACGTTTTTCCTGTTTAGTGTTAAGACTGATAAGCACTGCTGTATCTCAAGTTGTTCTGTCAATTCAGTACTATGTCGTTTGCCAAATATTTTTTAAAAAGACATTCCACCATCAATGTCACCTTAGGATATACCCTCATTTTGAACCAAACACACAAACCAGAAACTGAAAAAAAGCCATGTGAGCAAAATCGCTAAAAAAAACCCTAGCCTTTGCCAGTTGAATAAAAAGCAACAAATAACCATGAAAAAAGACTGGTCTTACTCACAAGTAGCTGCATGCCATATAGTTAACAGAAAATACATAGAATTAACTGTACCAACTCCAACACAAACCACGGGGTAAACTGCATTGTAGTTGGACTTAATTGTTAAGCTTTCACAATTATAAATGTCATAATTTGCTTCTGGCTTCTGAACAAAATCCATTTTTTCCCCAAGCAGAAATCTGGAGTTTGAAAATCATGAAGCAGTAACAGAAGAAAATTAGGCAACTTGAAACTTATTCTTTTTAGTAACCTGGGAGAGAATACTAACCTGTTAAATGGAACGTCCTGCAGTATCCTATCACTGCACAATGACAAAAGGCAGTTCTTCTGCAGCTGTAAAAGAGCAAAGCAAAGCTCAATATAAAATACTTCCCATGCAGGATTTCCGAGTCTTCTCTTCTGTCAAGGGAAATAAGCTACTAAGAATTCACAAACACTGCTTTCATTTTTTGTCCCAGTAGCTTGCAAATGTGTTTGCTTACAAGAGGAATAAAACAAAATGTGGTGAGATGCAAGGGTGCATAGTTCTTCACAGAATATAAGAATCTGCTACACACTATTTTATTTTATGGATTTACTTTTAGCCATTTGAAAAGCATTCTTATAAGGAATGTTACAATATGCAGCATCAATAATAATAATAATTAAAAAAAAACAAAATAAAACATACAACCAGAAAAGAATTTATTAGAGCCAGTCAGCATATGTTGATTTGAAAACACCTAACTACAGAACACCATGATTCAAAACAGTTTAAGTTTTAATACTTAAAGCAAGAGGCAACAGACTTAACAGTTTTCTGATTTGCTATGTAATTAATAGATTCCATATACCACTGAAATTGTGGCGACTCTGACTGATTCTCACTGCCCGCACTTCACTACATAAATATCACTATTAAAGGCCTATTTCCATAATTTGTTTCACCACAAAACAAGGTTTTGAAACTTCTTCCCATATTACTCATTTTTAAACTTAACACAACCTTTACAGACCCTTATCTTGATAAAAATTAAAAGGCTTACCTGCTGATGATTGGGAAAATGCTCCATGGCCTTCAAGAGCAAATGAGTGACATCTGCCAAAAGCCTAACAGGCATGCCTACAGCTAAATCTTGTTTTGTCAAGTTAAACACACAGGCACTGGCTGCTAATTGCACTGGCAGGTTCATGGGGTGATTTCTCATCCCAGTAACTACTAGCTGAAAGAAATAAACAAGCAAAACAGGGGAAATCAAAATTTTGAAGCGTATTAGAAATGTGCAGAATCAGCCACAAGCTCTTATGTAATGACCACCTGCCCATCATTCTTTTAACTAGTTGCCACATAGCACTATCCCCAAACGTATTGCAACCCCTTTAAAATTCCTAAAGAAGAGGAGAAACACAGAGCAATATTTTTCTCCCCTTATTGGAGATCATATGAGCCAAAGGGTCTACCCCTCCCCTTCCTTTTTCTGTTTTCCAAAATACCTCTACTTTGCATTATGAGAAAAAGGAAGAAAGATCCTCTAACCTGAGCCAAATTTGAATTGGCTCTCCTCTCACACACATAAATGCTTGGGGGTTTATTCAGTTGCCTTTTTGTTTTATTAGATTCCATGATTATCTACTGATATCATACACAAGAGGACACCCAGGCTGACTCCACCCATCCCCAGCCAGACCAAACCATGAGAAAGGGGAATGATTCTCAGAGAGGAGGACCTGTCATTTCTCTGGGAAAATCTGATCCCACCACACATGCCACTTCAGGAGGAAATTATTTGTTTTCTCCAGATTACCATTTTCCTCCTCTTCAGCAGAGACCCATATTCAAATACATTTAGCACTGTCCACAGTTAAAGCCACATTATTGAAAAACTACATGGAGTCACTCTGATATGGAGTTACAGTGGTGCATAGCAAAACGAGCGCACCGTTTAACGACGAATTCGCATAGCGTTCCTTTTTTGGGATCGCTAATGCGATCGCATACCGATGGTTCCAATGGGCAACAATCGCTTTGCGACGATCGGTAAGCGTTTCGCTTACCGATCTTCGCATTGCGATGTTGGGGGAACAGCTGATCGGCGGTTCCAAAATGGCCGCCGGAAGACCCAAAATGGCCACGCGCAGCGTTTTCGCGCCCTGCCTTCGCTTACCGAGTGCGCAAAAATGCCTGTGCTATGGAGGAACATCGCTGAACGGTGAGTTTGGGGCCCATTGGAACGCATTAAAGGAAGTTTTTCTATTCCGTTTAGCGATGTTTCCGAATAGCGATGCGGGGCACCACTGTACTACTATTTCACTTCCCAGCCTCTTACTGGATGAATTCTTCTTACAAACCAAGTGCTTCCCTTGACCTTCAAGTTAAGATGAGCTATGTAAATACTGTAACAGATTCCTTTTCAGATTATTTACAATTATTATCTTCTTTTCTGTTGCCCCTCCAGATCTGCTGTGCATGTACAAATTTTATTCAATCTGAAATTTCATGTACTTTAATTCAAATAGTCTCAGACTACAGTCTGAAAGCAATGCCTACGAAGATACCTTATTACCATGCAATACTTTTTTACCTTTAGAATTTCTGGTTTTGTTTTCTCCATAATATGGGTAAGGCTGAAGAGATGAAAAAGTGCCTCCCTCACAAAGAACGCCCGCTCACTGTAACGCTTCAGAGCTTCAGAAATCTGAGTTTCATTTGCTTCTCCAGATACCTTCCAACACAGATACACAATGCTTTAGAGTATGCAACTGCAGCAAAAGCAACTACAGTACAGGTAATATAAAGATTTTTACTTTCTTCAGCCAGGTAGGTGGGACTTGTCAGCCTTGGAAGGCAGCCCATCAAGGAGAAGGAAAACTCTTAATTTCAAACCTCCACTGCCTTGTGGCTATATCCACTGATGGAAAAGGCTTCAGGAGTAAACCTCGAGGCAAAATCTGGAGCCGGAGGCAGTTCGTGTAGTTCTGGCAACTCCTGCGACATCGCTGGAACCGGTTGTATTGGCTCTTGCCTTTCCATTGGACTATTTCAGTGATGTGGAGAGGGGGATTTGCTCCTTGGGTAACAGCATATCCTTCATATTATTTTACCCAGGCTTTGTGCCCTAGAGAGGACACTCCAGCTTCGCATACAGCGTTGAAACACTAGACACTGTTCCAAGTCCTCCATACAGAGCACATTACCATAGTCCCTCGAGACTGAAGGATGCCTGAGAATTTTGTTCATCTTGGTTATTTAAGCCCAAAAGAAAATACTCTTTTCGCCAAAATTGATGCTTAATTGATCTATTACAAATTAATCCCCAGGTAATCGGAATATGATTCATTCAGCACTGCTTATAATAAGGAAACCACTGAGAACAAAATCCTCTCCATATCTACCAGAATTAAGTCCTGTCAAGTTCAGGAAGGATTATTCCTAGCTACAAAGGAGTAAGATGCTAGAGTTAGCTTTTTATACATGAAGCATTACAAATATTACAATATTACTGTACCACTGCCAAATTTTGCCAAAAACTCTGCCACTCTTATCCAAATTTACCATTCTTTTACCAAACATTTTTCCATTAAGAAATAAAAATATTTTAAATCTATCATGAACTATCATAATAGTTATAACTTTATATTTTAAAATTAACATGTTAGTTCTTTGAATAAGACAATATACTAATAAATGTAGAAAGCGAGCTGTGAATACCAGTATTTTTCAGACAATTTTCCTTCTTAAAAGATAAGCTAGAGAACCATGAAAAAAAGAACAAGCAAGCAAAAGAAAAGTTAAAAATCTCATGCAGCACTGACATTTTGCTGAAAGAATAGTTAGAAAAAAAACAGTAATCAAGAAAAAAGAAGGCTATATATATATTCACTAAAGCCTTTATATGACTTTGAAATCACTGCATTTTTAAAACATGGAATAATCTTTTAAAAGCAGTTTGAGATGGCACCTTTGAGAGGAAGACTCATACAAATGGGTAAGGGGGTTTGCCTCTTTGATTCATGTCTTACACATGCAGAATTTTAATATGCATTCAATAGATTTATCACTCTGCCCTCTGACTCTTAAGCTCTCCATGCAAAGTGACACTGAGGGAGGAGCACTGCTAACATGGTGGACCCTTTGCTGATCTGTGGACTCTGGCAAGTGCCTTTGCTATCAGCATGTCCCGCCATACCTAGGTCATCAGAACAGACACATTAATCGCCAAACAGTTAATACCAAATAGTCTGGATGACATGAATTCCAGATAGCCACTATGGAGCTGCCCAGAATGCCATTAAAAAAGAACCTGGCACAAGGCTGGAACACACAGCCATGCTGGCTGATACCACCACTGCCCAGCATGTTTCATGAATTCTAGGACCAGCAATAGCCTGCATATAGCTATATGATAGCTATATATCACCTTCAGTATCAGAGACAGGGTGATTCTGTATACCAACTGGTAGCAGACAGAAGATGGAAAGACCAATTGCACTCATATACGGCTTGTAGATTCCCAACAGGCAACTGGTTGGCCACTATGTGAACAAAACTCTGGACAGAACTCTGATCTAATCCAGCTTGGGGCTTCTCGTGTCTTTTAATATTCTAATTCAGAAGTCAAAGTTTGCACACAGACACAAATCAAAGTTATGGAACAGTATAAGATATAAAACCAACCTTCAAGTTTCCTTCTCCGGTGAGAAATAATGAGTAGCCAGCATCAGTGGCTAGCAGCCCCACAAACTGCATGGAGGGTCGCTGTTTCACAAATGCTTCTACTGCCTCATCAGTAACATGTTTCCTCCCCGAAATGTCCAAGGACACAAGATTGGGCAATATGTCTTTCTGCTCTAACAAACGAAGTGCAATATCAGATGTGAACTGCTTGTCATCTGAAATATCAAGATGATTCAGGAACTTTAACTCTCTGATGACATCCAAAATTTGAGTGGTCGTCATTTTCAAGCATTTCAGGTGATGCATGGTAAGAGACTTGAGGCGATCCTTGCAGGCAAGGAGTGCAGTTATGTCAGTGACTGAGGTGTTGGATATATCCAAGCTTTCTAATCTCGGAAGGGAAGCCACATCAGCTAGATCTTCATTGTAAAAGAGAACATTGGTAATGCTCAAAGCCCGAAGACCAGTCAGCTGGCTAAAGCACCTTTCATAAGGATCTTCCAAGGAAAGAGTTAATGAGTTCAGCACAAGGCATTGAAGGTTTTGTTGGATCCATTTATTGCTGGCAAGTCCACTGATGATATCTGTGATTGTAATATCTGCATTCACTCCCGTAGCATCGAGCTCCACCAGCTTATGATGGCAGAATGCTTTCCGAAAAGCAACCGCAGAGATTTTGGCTTTGCGGATACAAGCCCTTTTTAAACGCATCTGGTTGCCTCGAAAAATACCCACAGTAGCTTCATTCAGCAGTCCTGGGTTGGGGGGGGAGGAGCAAGGGGAGAAATGTAACAATAAGCGACTTATCACAGATTTTGGTTTAAAAGTGGGAGATGCCAGAGCTGAGGAATTGCCTTCAGCATTAATATTGGGACCAGAGTAGAAGGGGCAGAGCTGCTGGAGAAGAAACACACTGAATTCTCAATGTAATTGAAATTATTTTTAACTCTGCTCTTCGTTTAATTACATTTTACTCCATTTTGTTTTTCAATTGCACTCCTTGTTCAATATTACTGTGAGACATCTTATGTCCCACTTTTGGTAGGAAAGAAGGATATAAATCCAAAAATAAAGAAATGACTCCCCTTTTTTCTTGTGAGACTAATACATAGTATAGTATTGGAGAATCCCCATAGTATCCCATTGTGTCTTGTGTTGAAGCTATGACATATCAATAAGGTTGGGCTCCAAGTCACCAAGCAAAAAACAACTTCGCCACTTGCTCTGCCACTGAGATCTCTCACTGATGCCAATGCTAGGATAATTCCTACTAAACACACATGTGGGCCTAGCTATGCGGCATATGGGACTTTTTTCTGTAAGGAAGGAAGGAGGAAGGAAGGTGATGTGAAGAAGGAACATGGCACAGAGAATACTGAAATAGGCAACTCAACTCTACAACGGTGTTCTAGCAGCTATCCCTAGATATACTGTAAAATGTACAAAAAGCCGTAAGAAAAAAATTAAAATCTATATTGTGGCAATACCTTTCTTAGGCCAACTAAAATGCTTTATTAGTCAGCCTAATAAAGCTGTTACCACAATTTGGATTACAAAAGGGGTAACTCTGTCTCCAGGATTTCAATTATTTACATTGTTCAGGAGAGAAGTTCTTTGTGGTTCTGCTAGGTACCAAATGTAGTTTAGCATTTAATGGCACAAATCCTGAGTGCATTAGAATTGGGAGCCCCCTCAGAATCAAATGACAAGTGAGAGTCAAAAGTGCCCTCTGCAGGTAAAGCAAGACATAGTTCAATCAACTGTTATTTCATACACTCCATTTTACTTGAATCCCCACAATTACCAAACCTGGAAGAACTGTTTTACCATGAAACGCCATGGTCCGCAATAATCGGTCAGCCACTTCCTGTGGAAATATCCCAGGCTCTTGCAAACATAACGTCCCATCTTGCCTTTCTGTACAGAACTTCTCTAGATCAGATGTTAAGTAATTCAAACAGATGTCAAGCAGAGAATATGGTGAAGCCTCTTCCTGTTGAATGCAAACAGATGCGCTGTAAATTATTTTTTTAAATCCACGCCCATCACAGATCAAGATATTAATACCTGCAGATTATCTGCAATAGGGGGAAGCTCCCGCCAGTGTCACGTGGCTCTGCGGGGAGGAAAGAACAGCACTTGCAGAACCTGGGGAGTACTATAACTTCAAAAATATTCATTACAATTACAATCCCAAGCTCCTCAGTAATTTGTTGATGTTATTATTACAATTGTTTAAAACAGCCATTACAGATGGGCACTTACTGCGATTTGGTAGATTTGGCCCACAGGTGTTGTGCGGGCACCCTGGATTCTGTGTCTCACGTCCATCTGTGGGCACCCCATTAGAAGCGACACCGTGGACTTCCCTGCCTCGCTTCCTCCTCTGAGTAGGCACCCACAGGAGGAGGCAGGGCACGGAATCCAGGGTGCCAATGCAACAGCTGTGGGCCCAATCCACTGAACCAGGCCAAACTACAATAAATGCCCATCTCTAGCAGCTATTCTCAACCAAGTTTCCATTGTTCCATGTTGTCTTAGCAATATACTGCAGAATACATACATCATATACAATAACCAAGATAAGCAGGCACTATAATTTCAATCAGCTTTTGTGTTAATACAAACATTATCCTGATTATTTTTGCATTTCATGCCCCATAATAAAATCGTCATTTGCAATTATTTAGCATTCTCCAGATGGAGGGAACAAAGCAAATTTGTGAGTCACCTTCACGAAAAGCAGGCTTAGTGGGCTAGCTCCTACTCTTCTAGTCAATTTTTAAAATAGTCATGCCAACTACTTCCCACACAAAGAGAAATAATTTCATGCTAGTGAACCAAGTTAGTTAGGAGTTCCCTTTTATTTCAAATTATTTTATATCCTTTTCTTTTATTCTTCTGCCTCACATAAATTTCTTGCTGAATACAAGTGAGTTATAAAACAAAATACATTCACTCTTTACAAAAAAAAATCTAAGGCACCATGCATATCATTCCTATTAATTTCAAAGCAAAGAGCTCTCTCAGCTATAAAGGAAGAAAATGTATTGAGTGTACATGACTAAAAAAAGCTTCACTGTTCTTCCAGAAAAAAACTATTGACTCTCCATTTAAAAAACAAACAAACACCATTTTGGAGAACAGCATTCTAACATGAAGAAAAAAAGGATTTTATTGCTAGGGTAAGCTCGGTAGAGTTACAGGCTGTGTTATGACATCAATGATTGTGCAATCCACAGACTGCACTAAAAAGGGTTGTAGTCTAGTGATTGTATCTACAGGTCAAATAGCTGCCTTCAATAACATTTCTAGTGGAAGAGGACCACTACCAGAAGTTTCACCCCAGCTGATTAAAGAACAAGCATGTCTCAGAAGGATGTACCAAGGGGAAAACCTCCATTTACAGGTAGCAAGTATTGTATGCAATAGTCATATAGAACCAACAATTATGACATATTGCACCGACAAAAATGTAGATCAGCTACAATTTTCTGGACAAAAACGAAATTCTGGAACCATTTGATAAAAATAACTTCTAAGTGGGCTAAGAAAATCTTTTTTGGTCAGAAAATTCAAATGTTCAATAACTGGAAATCATTGATATTGCTGTAACTGTATACACAGTATAAATTAATATTCTCGTAAGCTTTGAGCCTACAAGAGTTAATTCATCATGCATCTATTAAGATTTTTAAAAATAATTTGATCAGTAATTTTTGCAAGGATCAGTGGAATATACAAACTTTTTAATGCAAAGACCTTGAGTTAGTTTTTCAAAAACTGATGGTACAAAGAAACATGGAACAATACTATACTTTGACTACAAGACTGGAAAGGAATTTAACTTTTTATTTTCATATGAATTTTTGGATTTGCTTCAAAAAGGAATCCATACTAATTATGAGTTTGATCAAAACAAAAACTTGATTTGAT